TTAGTAAGTAAATATATATATATATAGAGACTCTAAAAGGAAGTTTGTCAAACCTAAAACAATAAACATAATCGGCTTTTGGCCCATTTGTTATATGCAGTCCTTTCTTTTTTTATTTTGTTTCCAATTCTGACATAGGGGTTAGATTAGTGTTGCGACAATACTACAACGATTAAGGCAACTTTTTATTATGTTATTAAGGTTGTTGAACTACTTCCAGCTGTTCGTGGAAGCTTTTAGATTTTCAAGTCAACAATGATTGAGGTCGGTCTCTAATCTTTTCGAGGCTATCTTCGGTTTGACCGACCTATTTGGTATCATTCTGGTCGAGTTTGATAGGTCGGTCATTAAGATGAGAGCTATTGATCACCCTTACCTATGGATGAGTTTTAATAGTTCTCACGCAAACGTAGTAAGTCATATTTTTAACCCAAAAGTGTCCTTGTCAAAGTGAGAGAAATTTTGAAAATTAGATATTTATATCCATATTTTTTAAACATTAGTACAAAGAAAATTTTATTGATCAACATCTATCTAAAACACAAATAGAACTTTTTTGTAGAATTTAACCGTGTACTGTTTTTTTTTAATACTTTAATCAATGAAATTTAATTAAACTTTACTAAACTATATTTTTCCATATAATAAAATAAAAATAAAAAGTCCACGTAGATATTAGTTATTTTGTCATGCCTCCCTCACGTGTGACGAAAGTCAATCCCGTTATGCATGTAGAATAAGGATAAAGACTTTGACGACTGGCGGCAGCCAGCCATTTAATGAGTTGTTCAAAAACTTTCTGATTTTTGTTTCCTTTTCTTATAATTATTTATTAAAAATATGAAGAATATTATTAAATTAATAAAAATAATATATATATATATATATATATATATATATATATATATTGTTTATGCAAAGAATTGCACAACGCTGTTAAATGAACCAAACTCGAACTCGGTCCTCGGCTTGACCTAAACTCAAGAATGAACCTGCACAAAAGGGCAAACTCTCCGACGCTCAAGTCAGTGTAGGTCGGGCTCAATATAAAGTTCGAGATGAGATTCGATACCTGAGCGTGAAATGATGCCCTCTATTTAAAGGTTGCGGGTCCGACAGTACCCACGACCGGCGGTTACCTTTGTCCTTTTTTATGTCGAACCTGTCGAGTTTGAGCAGATCGAACCCGTCCAGGTCGGACTGGGGCTTTTTACACTTAGCCCCCACGATGGGCGAACCCAGTCTCCTCGGCAGGTTCGAGGTGGACCTGGGATACTTTATTCCTTGAACACCAATGAGCGTCCTCCACGTGTCCTAAATATTTTTACCCCCAAACATTGGCCCCCTCTCTGTCAGGTTCGATCTGGACCTGGCAGAGAAGTTGTACTCATCCACTTTGGACACGTGATGACTTCTAATTCGTAGAAAGAATACAACCATTGTGGAAGATGTTTCGATCTGTCAGGCTGTCGGAGTACTCAAGTGCTCCGTCGTTACGAATTTCGAGATGATCCTGGCCACTCGTTCATTACACATGTACGATGTAGAGGATTTTCCGATTAGCTATAAATAGTTCTGAGACTTCAGGTCGAACCTTACGTTTCCTGAATTTCTGGAGTTTGACCTGAAACCAGCTCGAACCCTCTGTAGGTCAGTCACTCGTGTTTTATTCTTACTTTCGAATATGGTAGTTTTCATGTCTTCCCCCTCCAGTAGTGATAGTTTAGGTAGTGCAGGTCGGACTATAAGTAGTTCCCCTCCTAAGTCTAATGACTCCGGGGAGGACCTAACTCGTAGGTTAGAGTCCGAGCTGAAAGAGATAGAGAACTTTAGATTTTCTGATGATGGGAAAGATAGTGATGCTTCCAACTCGGGCCAGGGTTTGGAATACCCTTCAAAAATGCCAGAGCACTATTTCGAACTCCATAGGGGGTTTAAAATTCCAAACGACATCCTCTTTAGGATTCCGGAGGAAAGGGAAAGAGTTGACAATCCTCCAAAGGGATGAGTCACTCTTTATTTAAAAATGTTTGAGTACGGCCTCAGACTTCCCCTTCATCCTTTTGCCCAAGAGTTCCTAAACCGAACTAGACTGGCTCCTGCTCAAGTGGCCCCCAACGGATGGGGTGTCATTTTTGCTTTGGCCATCCTTTTCTGCTGCGAGCTCGGGACGAGGACGAGGGCGAGCTGCTGAATGTCGACGAGCTCCTCGGGTGCTTCAAGGCCAAACGGATAGCTAAGAAGTCAGGTCGGTACTATATGTGCGCAAGGAAAGGCGTAGGCGGCATAGTTAAAGGGCCGACCTCCATAAAGGGATGGGTGAAGAAGTGGTTCTTTGCCTCTGGGGAATGGCTGGCAAAGGACGAGTCAGGTCGTCCCTTCTTTGATGTTCCCGCTAGGTTTGGGAACTTAGGTATGGAGTCGCTCTTGCTTTCTTTATGTAGCTCTAAGTCTTTTAATTCTTTTGCTTCTCATATCTAACTCGAACCTTCCTTTGTCTTGTGCAGTGTCAATCAGGTCAATCCCCAAACTCACTCGAGGATCCTTCAATACGCTTAAGTATTACAAGGATCGCTTTCCAAAGGGCAGGAAGATCGGAACTCTGGTGACCGACAAGCTGCTCCTCGACTCTGGGTTGTTGGATGACAACCCTTTAGTTCGTCAAATCGAAGCCTCAAGATCAAACTCCGAGCTCGGTAAGTCGTGCTCGATCTCAGCTTCTAATTCAACTTTTGACTTCGACCTCTAACCTTTTGCTTGTTTACTTTGTAGCAATGGTGTGCAGATTCACAGGCTGCGTGAAGCGCAAGTCTAAGGGTCGTGCTCATGCCCTTAAGATCGTTCAAAATATGGAGCCAACAACTCCTACTGCGGCTCGACCTGCGGCCCAAGACAATGCTGGGCTATCCTCTGAACTTCCCACTCTAATGATCGAGCTGGACTTAACTAGGGAGCACTCTGGGGAAAAGCGCCATAGGGATGAGTCCGAGGCATTGGACGTATCTCCCCTAAACGAGGTGAGGGGAGAGTCTCCTTTGAAGAGGAGAAAGAAGAAGAAGAAGACAACCTCCTCCTCGGAGGTTGGACCTCGTGGGATCCTGCTTACGAGCCATGTTAATTTGGTGGACGACCCTGAAGCTAAGATGGAGGGGACATCTGATGTGTCAATGCGGTTTCGGGTTGAACCGTCGAGCTCCGGGGTGAAGAACCAGGTGTCCCGCATCTTGGCATCATG